AAGGATCCCACAGGTTAATTACATGCTGCATGAGAAAAAAATGAAAGTATTAGGTAGGAAGCTCTATGTCCCTTGGTTCTAGTAGTGTGATAGATAGATAATAAGCAATAAATACTTACTGAGTTTCTCAGGACTCATAGTACAGGTGATATCTTTTATTAGACCAACAAGATTTTTGCAAAAAAGTGTCTTTAATCACAAGCTTTCGGGCACAAACACCCTTCATCAGGCATTGGAGAAAAGATTATAAAAGTTGTCCTGGGTAGAAATGAAAGTTCATATTCCATAGGATTTCACAGAGGAACCAGTAGATGAACAACTCCTCTGGGCAGTCTGTTCATAGCTGAGTTTCTCTGCATCTTTTGTTATTTGGTAAACCTCTCTGCTACCTCTCTCAACCATCTCTTTTCTAAGATGAAAACTCCTAGCCTATTTAGTCTCTCCTCATAAGGACGCCAATACTCCTGATCATCCCTGTTGCTCCTTCTCTGTACCTTTTCTAGTTCATCTACAGCCTTTATTGAGGCGTGGCGACCGACACTGCACACAGTTTTCAGAGCTTTAGCAGAGATTCAAGGGAGGATAACAAAGTATTTTTGCAGAAGTCCATGGGGAGGTCTTCTCAAGGGTGAGATAGACTGAGCATGTTCAATGGCATTTTGAAAATCTTAACACATGGGTGAGGGAGGTTGGCATCGGGGATGTTGGGAGGCAGCCGGTAGCGTCTCACTCCATCGTTAGGTTAGAGCTGGCTGGCACTTTGCACGTGGAACGCTTCCCAATTGGAAAACTGAAATTTTCTGTGGGGAGAACATTGCTGCTGATTTCCCTCGTTAGGGCAATTAAAAGGAATGTAGATTCAATATTTTGACCTGGAACAGAATACTCACAATATTGTTTCAGCATGAAATATTTCACTTCAAAACTAAATAGATGTCATCATTTTGAAATGAAGTACCTTGCGTTTCAGTGAGCACTTCTTCCTGGCAGTCTGAAGCAAGGAAAAGGCACTGATATTCAAGATGGGGGAAAAGGGGGAAGAGATGTCCTTTTAGCAAAAGCAATTTACTTACTAAGCAGTAGCAATGCTGGACAAGACTTCCCTTACAATTTTTTTGAACAGACCTGTTTGGAAAGGATGAGAAGACTTAGGTTTGCCTTTCTGTTGGAAAGAAGGCACTAGGTGCTACCAATGTGTGGGTTCACGTTGATGGGAAACCTCTAACCCCATCGTAGGAAGGAGAGTGAGTGGGAGGAAAAAGGCCATGAGGTCGGTAGGTGGACGGAGTGAGGTTCACTTTGCCATCTAGGCATGTTTTATAATGATAATGTTTTGTAATGATAGAACCTATTTCTCCTTTCTTCTTTTCCCCTTCACTGGTACCCTCAATAGGTTGCTTTTGGTTTGGTTTTGTTGGTGGTGGCGATCATTCATTGGTCTGCGGGAAAGCTTGACTGAAGTACTGCAAATCTGAAGCAGCAAGATTTAGGCTTCATTGCATTCCTTCTGGAGCTGTTTGCACAGCCGTGGAAGGGACTCTGCTCTTTGTGCCTCAGGTGCCAGGAGCCCAAGTACTATTGACTTGGTTGCTGAACAACGAATTTAAGGAAGGCCGTCACAATACATGTGATAGAGGTGTTTTTTTGGAGGAAGCCCCCCTGGGGATTTGGAAATAGTATCTCAGCCTGTTTGGAAAAAAATACAAGCCCACTTTGTAGGGAAGTTTTCCCACTCTTACCCCCAAACCCTGTGAGCATTTGGTAGATTTTGAGGAGGGCTAGAACACATTTTATTATCTGTCATTTTAGGATTAATAGCATTTGTCTTCAAAACAGTACTGTTTAGGATGAGAATACCTAAATCTATTGTTTGCTGTACTAGGCCATAGAGAATTCGTTTTCCGTATGGCATGGAAGACCCCTGAAGAGCAAAGGTGAGGAGAGAGCAAGGGGCATCTGTTGCAAGTGAGCTGGTGAAAGCTTGAATTAGTGTCTCCGCCATACAGACACGCTGGGTTTGGCTTGCAGCAGACGACCAGTGTGAAGCTGCCTGTGTCATTGCATAATGGCATTTCTAGGACCGAGGACGTGGCCAGTTCTGCTGTCCAAGATGCAAAGGACTCCATGGTGTCGTAATCTCAATAAGAATAGGTTCTGCTTCATGATCCTTAGCATTAGGCCTAGGTACTTCAAATGTAAAGCATAAGCTTCAGGAACACTGAATTTGCAGACACTCATTTGAAACTATCTTTGAATAAAATAGGCTGAGCACCTGACACATCAGATTCAGGGACACCAAAAAACAAGCTGGTGTTTATGCAGAGGTTTTGTTTAAAATCTCTTTGTTTAAGGTTATGAAGATAGAAGCAATGCCATAATATTTTTTCCAACTATTTATGTTGGTCTAATAAAAGATATCAGATTCACCCAAAGAATCTTGCCTGCCTATGTCCTTAGACCAACACGGCTACAACCGACACCCCGCCATAATCTTTTTCACTCAGATCCAGAACTGAAATGATCTCTTTTATTGGGCCAGGAATAGGAAACAAATATTTTAAAACTACAATGGCAACATGCCTCTTTCCCATCTGAATGTGGAGTCCTTCCGCTTCATCAGAATCACAGAAAAACAGGGCTAGAAGGGACCTCAGGTGGTCACCTTGTCCAACCTCCTCCCTGTCCAAACCATCCCATACAAGAGCTTCTCTAACCTAGTCCTATTTCCGAGCACTAATGGGAAGATCACCCTTGCTACTTTGTCCGCACCACCCCCTCCTGTTTCCTTCCTCCAGCTCTCCAAAGAGTTATTTGCTTCGATGGCCGCGTGATTCTGGGGCTGTAAAAACTCATGCTTTTTGAATGGGCATCAAGGGGGATTGTAATACACTCACCAGTGGATTAAACTTCAAAATCAAGCTCCCTGGTCTTGATGATACAAGTGGTTATTCCAGTATTACGTGGCATTGTTCACACACAAGGTTTCCCTCAAATGCCCTACAAAAATAATTCATCAATATAATTAGAAACTTCCTCTATAACCAAAGGTGTCACTGGACAGGCCCTGCCCTGACCCCCCATCAATAAGCATCATTCAAATAAAGGTGTCAGAGAGTTAATTTGAATTTTTGTGCCTCCTCTAGTCATTGGTTATTTTGGGGCGGGCAGCAGTAAGACCTACAATGCTTGGGAGATGTAGACATAAAGGGTACATAGGGATGTTATGATTACAGTGACTTAACTAGGGTTGGGTCTATCTAAATGCCCATCTGTGCAGATGTTTGAGGGGTTTAAATCAGGCCAAAAGTGGTGAGAGTAAGTTAGGTCACCTGAGTAGGCTGAACCTGATCCAGGGAAGATCTGCATAGGTTGGAGTGCAGCCCCAATAGCTTGCCCCATCCCCAGGGATGTACTCTTCCTATCCCAATCCTGACTGGGCTATTTTAGCCCCCCAGTCTCCCTCGCACCCCTGGATGAACAACTTCTCCCACAGACCTCCCAGCCCACTACAATCCCACTAATACCTCCTCAAGACCCACCACCGTCCTGCCAATCCATTAATCCTCCTAATCCCACTTGCCTCTCTCCTTACCCTGAGTTACTTAGACCAGGTCCCCTGCAAATGCCTGTACACGCCGCTCTCCATCTATGATCACGTGGCTTCAAGCAACTTGAATCCACTTGATCTTAGATCGGGTGTAGTGAACATCTGTACACACCCAAAGTGAGGCAAGGGTGCATTGGGGCAGAACCAAGGAGAAGATATTACAATGGCCAGAACAGCTGCACGGGTTTTAGCTACACATGGGCTTCCCACACATCCTTGCCCCGCTGCTTCAGGAACCATGCGCCGGGGAAGGCAGTTATAATTCTGCCATCTACAAGTGAAAATGAAGTTATGCTATACTATTTTCAATGGCAGCCTACAACAGGCTATTTATTGCTGATTATGATGCTTCTAAATGGCAGTGGGCTTGAATTTAGAGTGACAAGATGGCATTGACAGATGCAAACCATTGCTTTTGGCAGCTGGAAGCTGAACAGCTTAGAGGAATGGCATTTTGCAGCAGAGCTGGAATACTTGGCAATAACTGAGGCTTTTAAAACCCAACGAGTCTTGATTGCTGGGTATATGGTTTATAGCACTCACAGGCCATCAGGCTGCATAATGGTAAGTGACTTCTGCTTTGGAAAGAAGCTACAAAAATGGTAGGATTAACTTGCAGAGTTCTCCTGTGCGTCTGTCAGAGGGAGACTGCAATGTCGTGCAGGCTTCAGGAGAAACAGAAGTTGGAGTAGGAAGCCCTCTCTGATCCAGGGGAAAAGGCCACCAGGCAGAGGAAGACTTCAGATCAGCTGCCTGGGTACATCTGAACTGAAACCTCACTGAAATCTGAACAGCGCGGAGACTTCAGGCAGTAATGGATTGTAGAGCAGATGTCCAGATCTCTTGCTTGTTAGCAAATGCTAATAATAACTCAGTAAAAAAAAAAAAGGATGCTACGGAAAAGTGACTTGAAATAATCAGCAAGGTGACAATCATGGATTTCAGTGTTTACATAGAGCTATAGGTAATAAAATACCATTGTTTTAAACCATCTAATCATTGCAGAAGGACTAGGGAGAGGTAGGGGGGAGATGGCAGCTAGCATGTAGAGCTGGGGCACCTTTGCGTCTGGCATTGATGCAAGGCACAATGAAAAAAATCCCTAGCTTGAAGGGCAGGCAAGCTAAAATGTTGCTGTTTCCATGATTTTGAAGAAAGGAGCACTAAGATAAGTACCATGGAGTTTTTGGGTTTTGTTTTTTGGGGTGTTCAGGGCCAATACCCATTTGAACAAATGATCAAGAGCAGTGGTGCATGTTTCAGTATGATTGGGGAGGGGCTCCCTGGGGGGTGTACTTTCACCAAAACCAAACATTGGGCTCCAAACAAGGGTGACTGGGTGACTGCACTGACCTGCAATAGGCAGATGTTCAGATCAGGGGATCCAGTGCTCCCTTCTGGATTTATATTCCATGAGTTTGCATGGTGGGAGATGCAACGGGTGAGGTCGGTGATGGACGTGGCAATGATGATACCCATGTATCTAAGACATGCCATCTTCCAGCACTCCTGTTGAAACTATCTGTAAGGCATTCACACAAGCAAATCTCTTGCAGAAGCACATCTAGGAGAGGCTGAGGCCCATACTGCACTGGTTTTGCAGATGCGTATAGGTATACGAGTGCTGTTTGCTAGCAAGGGGTCACTCTCAAAGCATTTGAAGAGATCTGTTCAAAGCAGGCCCTCCAACTTATATACTTGTGTACTCCTCAAATGTCTTTGGCCTTTTTATAGGTTGCAGATAACAACTTCGCAAGAAGAAAACAATTGTACTTACTGTGAAAGAGGCAGAGAGGACAAGGGGCGACTTTCGTCCAAACTGAGATCTGAATATGACTTCTTAACTCAGTAATAAGGTCCGCTTCCATGTTTCAGTCTCATTTGCTTGTTGCTGAATAAATATATTTCTGAACAGATCACAGAAGAGCTGGAAAAAAGACCATGAAAGCCATGTTTTTGGGTATGATTTTACATGTACAAAATTGGGATAAAAGTACTGCTTAGTGGATCTGGAGAAAATCAAAATTCAACTTGCTCAAACTTTATAGAGGCATTTCCCCCCATTTCCTTTTACTTTTCTTCTCATTGTCTAATGGAAGTAAAAGGAAGAACAGAAAAAGCAACCAAAAGTGTCAGACAAATCTTTCCACAACATGAAAGAAGTTGGCACTGGTCAAATACATTTGACAAACATGCTTGCTCAAGGGCTTCTTTGTCAATCCAAAAAAACTACCTATTCACCTGACTACAGGTCTAGTAACATGCAATTACAGAAAGGAAGCTTGGACAGAGCTTGATCCTGTCCTTTAAAAAAAGAAAAGAAAAGTTCCTGATGACCATTTAAAAACAATTGTTTTTCAACTTATGTATATAGCAGCAGCACAAAGCACCCTTCTTTGTAATTGTTTTTGCTTTACTGCATGCTGGTCCACTGGGAAATGCATGTGCTTTCCCGTTTTCTCATTTTCAGCTGAACTGCTTGCCAAGTGCTGCAGACATTGTCCACAATATCTGCTGATCTCTGTGAGTGATGAGCAAAGCTGTGCATGACCTGCATGTGGTATGGCCCCTTTTTATAATACTGTGTGGAGATTGCTATAAAACAAGAAATTCTAGCAAAAGTGGTACCTCTACTGAAGAGTGGGGAAGGGGTAGAGGGAAGGGGATCTGGGCTACTAAAGACCTGTTAGTCTAACCTCAGCTGCATGTCAGGCTTTGGGGAGGGAGGGGGGAGGGTAATTTAAAGCATGGAGGTAAATGGAAGAAGGGATAGTGTGAAACATGGGTTTATCAAAAGCAGATCACATCAGATTAGCCTGAGAGATTTTTAAAAAATCAATTATAGAGGAAAAAATGTTAAGGCAAGGGTAAAAAACAGTAGATCTTATCTCTCTGGACATTATTGAAGCATTGGATATGGTGCCACGTGAGGAAATATTAAGATTATTACCAGAATCTTATGGTAAGGAATGTGATAATAGGTGATGTTGAAAGCACAAGTATCAGGCTGAAGGAGGGTTATTAATGGAGTTCCTCAAGGGCTGTTCTTGAGACCGATCTTCTTTAATATTTCCATTGCTAAGCAAGGCACAAAGAGTAGGATTGTGCTAATGAAATGCACCAGATGCCCAAAGAGGAGAGACATCATCAGTATCGAGGAGAAAAAGAATATTGTTACAAGAGCAGGATGACCTTGAGCACTGGAGTACTAGAGATGAGACAAAATCCTCAAGTTCATACTAGTAGTAGTTTCTGCTTTAAGCTGGGAGCTCACCGGTTGGAAATAATGGGAGATTAGGAACCATCAGGGTAAAACAGCTGTGGAAATGGCAAATGCGATCTGAGGATGTATCAGGCAAAGTATTTTCAGCAGACGTGGGGAATGTTTAAAGCTACATGTGCAGTGGTGTAGAGCACCAGTGTACAAGAGCAGGTGGCCACTGCCTGGCTATGACATTGTTTAGGTTGGAAATGAGAAGAAATCGCTTGGAGAGGGAGGTTTTGCTGTCTCTTTCCAGTATGAGCATGTGAAGGAAAAATGTGTTTAAAGATCCCGCTTCATTAAGCTACATGAGGGGAATATGCAGTGCCAATGATGGCAAGGGAATGCATCCTATGACTTGGGAGGTCACTTCCCAACCTGTGGCCTGGGAGGTGGGACACTAATAGGAAAGGAGGAAGTAGAGAAGACAAAGAAGGGGATGGTTTCCTCTGTCCTCACTATTACTTGGCTGACCTGGCTGCCTGGGACCTATTGCTTCAAGTGGCAGCCACTCTACAGGAAAGTCCTGGTTTGCTGAAATCGCCTGGTGTCCTGCAGAAGATAAGGTCAACGTGTTACATGCCCACATGCTGGAGTGAGGATCATTATACGCTGACCCATGTAACATGCCCCACTGCTTAGTAATTAGGCGAATGACTGTGCTGGAGTGATTTGCACCTGTTTATGATAACGGCAGGGGTGTGATTCCCGGAGCGGTTTCCTGCCTCTTCCACTTGGGTTTATAAATCATTTGGGAAATATTTAATGGGTCTTGCTTTTCAGATCCATCACAGCTCCCCTTTGCACACCCAAGGCTGGCAAACAGCAGCATGTGGACACATTGCTTGTTGTGTGGGTATCAAGTCAGTGGCTGGGGGGGGTGGGGGGGATAAAATAAGATGGTGAGGGAGATTCTGCTGAGCTAGTTGTGCAAGTGTTGGGTGGCACACCTCCGTAATGCTGATGTGAGCACATGGCGCTTTACAAATTAGCCCATTCATAAAAGAGGTTGGGCCGTGAGAGAAGGGCAGAGGTCATCGTTACGTCTAATCTCCTCCGGGTAGGTTCGGTTACTCTATCAATATCCAGGGAGCTCTTCGTTACAGTCATTAGTGACAACTTCTGAAACAGGGAGTCTGTCTGGGGAAAAAGAAATCAGGAGCTCTACCTAACTGAGAGCGCGCTGCGTGGTTACAGCAGAAATACAGATCACACTGAGAAGGTGTGAAATCCAAGATCATTTTCTGGTTGTTATGTATTAAATTAGAGTAAAGCTTCCCGAGGTGAAAAGACTCTCTCTCCATTACCACACACTTGGCTGTAAAATGTGTAGGCTACATCTCATTATCACTTAAGAAATTAGAACCTCAAGGTCGTGAATAACAAAGTGTCTAGTGTGACCCTCCACAGACTTGGCTTATTAAATCAGCCAAGTGCATGTGTAATTTTCTGTCATTTTTGATGACCTTCAGAGATTAGGGTCATCATAATATATACTAACAGAGCACAATTCGTCAAGGGGCTGAGGGAGGGCATGATAAGGGAATAAATTATTTACAGGCAGTCTGCCCAGGTGGTGAGTGCAAAGGGTAGGTGCATGTCTGACCCTTGCCCTCGGGGGCATGGAGGCTTCCCCAGCGATGGAGCTGAGCGCTTGTCCTCAGCCCTACCGGAGGGGTGGACGACAGGGCTTCGGGCCCTTTTGCCCCATGGCAGGTATGAAGAATGTGCTGCTCCAGAGTTTCTGACTTAGCGTGCCAAATTCAAATGCATGAGCATGAGTAGGGAACAAAGCAGGGGCCAAGGCTTGTCTTAAGAAACCCAGTTAGAGCAGATGGGGGCTGGGCAGGAAGCCACCACCCCATCATCTCAAGGCTTCAAGTTTTCAGAAGGTTTCCCCTTCTGCATCAGGGTGAAGCCAATCCCTTCTGGAGATTTTCATGGGAATGGGGACCCTAAAAGTAAATAGCCCAGGGATTATGGCACTGCCTTGGGGTATGAGAGACCTTGCATTTCCATGGCTAAAGAGAGGCATGTGTGTGCACAATCCTCTGGCCCTGGGTGTCTTATTGTAGCTGATATATCCTGGGATGCTGGAGTTCAATGGGAGGCTGCTACTGGGATTTAATTATGTTGCTCCTTTCCATTGTTTTATCTCTCTCTCTCTACTGCATAAATAATTCTGTGCTACTCAATATGCATCTACTCAGACGTCTGCTTTGATTTCTCTTTTTCTTTTGGCTGCTAGCTTTTCATGGGTCAATACCTTGTAAGATGAGGGGCTGTGGCTACCTGAGATGATTGTTCGGTAAAGAAAGGGTAGAATTCCTCTCTGATGCTAAAATAATTTTCCAGGAATGAAAAAATGTTCAATCTTATCTCTCTCTCTCTCTCTCTCTCTCTCTCTCTCTTTCTGTGCTTTTATCCTAGAACCATATGTTACAGAGGATAATGTTGCTTAACGCTTATAAATAATTTAGCAACAAGTAGGTAATTTATAATATACATACCTTGGCAATTGTAGACTCCACTTCAGCAAGGTTTATATTGGAGCAGAGCTACTGAGCAGGTTGGAGAAGATGCTGGAATAATGATATGAAAACTCTTTTATATTTTGCAGCTGCAATTCATTTATGTGCTATACTGTAAGAGGCTTAGTGAAATGTTCTTACCATATAAAAGCTTAATGATACCCAGGTTTGCTGTTCCCTATTCACCGGGGTCTCATTCAGCAACTTTTCCTCACCTCAGGTAGTGGGAGGATCAGACCTGACTAATACGTGACTATTTAATCAAAACGGTAAATTTCCCTGGGAAACCTTCTGAAAGCACCTCACATCCTTAGGAAGATAATGGAACTTCACCGCAACGTTGTTTTTGAAGACCTCAGCCTACATCTCCTCTTGTAATAAAGAAACACAAGTGTACTTAAGAAAACATCCTTTAAATTACTGAAGTGGAAAATGTGCACGTTTTATACTGCGGGTGGACCTTCCCCATTTTCCATTTTATTTAAATTAGTCTTATATTGCTTCACTGCCATCGAATGTTGCATTTCTCTAAGTGGTTCACCACAGGACTATTCCTGAAAGTGTAAGCACTAGGGAAAGGCCAAAGTCCTCCTCGGTTTGCACTTCACTAGCTTTAAGGGGGCTCGCTCTGTAGTACATGTGTCTGTAACAGAGAAAACGTGTGATTGTACCTCATGATGCTGATCTGCCACTGGGTGGTGCTGAAATGCTGCCGGCTGCTGTGTGTTTTGTCTGCTCCAAAGCCCATACAAGAAACAGGTTTTTGTGTGGTGGAGTAGATATTGATGACACAATCAACAGGGGGATAGGATGGCAAAGGGAATCTGGATAGTTTCTTTCCTCCTGGTTTTCAGTGAATACTCAATGATTCTTTTTTTTCCTGGTGCATATCTAAAAATGCTTTGCGGCATGATCAAATAAGGCAACATCAATGTCCTTCTCATCCTGGTTATTAGTATTATTTGGCTTGCTACCTTGAGCCCCCCTTGGCAGGTTGGCTCCAACCCTGCTGGGCTGGAATACACGATCATACCTTGGATGGAAAGTCTGGTTGACGGGCATCTTCACAGTCCCATGGAAATGGTCTCAAGTTGCAACAAGGGAAGTTGAGGTTAGATATTAGGAAAAAAACCTTTCTCACTAAGAGGATAGTCAAGAACTGGAACAGGTCACCCAGAGAGGTGGTGGAGTCTCCATCCTTTGAGGTTTTGAAGACCCGGCTGGACAAAGCCTTGGCTCTGATGATGTAGCTGGGGCCTCGGCTCTGATGATGTAGTTGCTGAGGTCCCTTGCAACCCAAATTTTCTATGATTCTATGAAATGAAAGAGATGGTCAAAAGCATTGATCAGACCTCCCCCCACTTTTGGAGGATATGTATAGCTACTCAGTTCAGTTCTAAATGTATCAATTGCATTTTCATTTTATGAGAGGGTAAAATCACTGAGCAAGAGAAGTGGCTTCACAGACAATGGAGCTTTTCATTTGGAGAGCTTTGAGGAGTATGGAACTATAGCTTTTTAACCCAATATATGTTTTGACTTGAGACGTCCCCACATTACCTTTACTTCTATGCTTCCTTTGTTTGTGCAATACAAAGGCAGAGAAGACCTTAAGTTGTGCACCTTAATACATCTGTAAGTTGTCAACTTGCTAATAATGCATAGGACAGGCAGGTGCAAAAAGCAATAATCATTAAGCATACTTGTGCTAGTTAGTACTAATTGCAGTGCAGTAGTGTGCAAAGGCTCAGCTGACAAAGCAGATCACTTAATGCAAGTTGTGATGAGGCCTTACTGCAAAGACCTTATCATTTAAACACAATAGACAAAAGGGCTGCAGGAGAAACAGAAGCACTGAGAAACCTTGTCCAAAGTCATAGCTGGCTGGTGGCAGAGTTGAGAATGGGTGCCAGCTTCTCTGATTAGACCACACTGCTTCTCTGTGCACACCAGCATTTTGGAAAGAATAGAAGAGATGAGCTCACAGTCATGAAATGGTAAAGCATAACACAGGGACAAGAGGGCACCTACAGTAAAAAAACAGGACTGGTCTGTGAGAGTAATGGAGTGGTCTTTGGGCCTCAGTCCTACTGCCGTTACAGGCAAGAGCAAAATTCCAACCATGGGAATACAAACAAGACTGAAAAAGGTAACCATGCCCAAGTTATGTCTGTAGACTTTTTCATAGTTGTTAGGGTTTCATAGTAGGTAGGGTCGGAAGGGACCTGAGAAGATCATCAAGTCTGACCCCCCGCCCTGGGCAGGAATGAATGCTGGGATCAAATGACCCCAGCTAGGTGACTGTCTAGCCTCCTTTTGAAGACCCCCAAGGTAGAAGTGAGCACCACTTCACTTGGAAACTGATTCCAGATCACAGCTGCCCTGACTGTGAAGTAGCACCTCCTGATGTCTAGCCTGAACCTACTCTCAGTCAACTTGTGGCCATTATTCCTAGTTACTCCTGGCAGTGCTCGGGGGAACAGGGACTCTCCCAATGCATGCTGGACCCCCTTGGCCAGTTTATAGGTGGCCACCAGATCCCCTCTCAGCCTTCTCTTGTGGAGGCTGAACAGGTTCAGGTCCCGTCGCCTCTCCTCGTAGGGCCTGCCCTGCTGCCCTGATCATGCGAGTGGCCTCCTCTGGACCCTCTCCATGTTGTCCACATCCCTCCTGAAGTGCGGCGCCCAGAACTGGACGCAGTACTCCAGCTGCGGCCTGACCAGTGCCACATAGAGGGGGAGGATCACCTCCCTGGACCTGCTCGAGATGCATCTGTGGATGCACGACAAGGTGC